CACAATGAGACATAATTGAAAAATGCAACTGATATTCGTTTATCTCCCTGCAGACGCAATTTTGTGCTTTAGCTGTTTATCTATGCATTTTTTATTTTTCAGTTTCGAATTTGCATTTTGGAAGCATCATGATTACAACCGCAATTTAAGAAACAACGAATGATGTCAAAACGTTGTTGTACCAAACTAGCTAAAAGATTTACCGTTGCTTGGGGTAATACAATGGGTATACACTTGTTTGTTTATATCACCGCAATACAAACCACAACTCCACTATAGTAATACCATGACTATAGGACCACAAAAGAGTCGAGCTGAATCGAATATGGACCTTGTCGAGCTCAAGCTCTATTTTTTTCACTGCTCGAGCTCGACGAGCCATGAAAATGACACTCGATCTCGACTCGTGAAACAAATAGAAATACTCGAGACCGACTCGAGTTTTAACAACTATAAATGGTGCACCTATGACAAGTTTGTGAATTACATGTACATGTATATAAAGGGTATTTAAATATTTTACCGCATATTGCGAGCCGCTCGACGAGCGGCCCGACCTTTACAAATTTGGGCTCGAGATCGACTCGATAACATACTCGAGCTATTTGAGTTCGACTAGTTTTCAGTCAAACTCGAGCTCGAGTTGGGATTTTGACTCGAGGGCTCGCGAGCGACTCGTGAGTCGTTTGGCTCGTTGCATCCCTACACGAGCATACAATGATTATCTATGTAGTACTTGGATATAAATTTTAATAGACAAATCACAACTCAAATTTAAGTTAAATAAACTCAACATCAACTCTCCTCACCATCATCTGTTTAATTAAATAATACCAATTAATTATTTTCACATATTACATTAAATTTAATTAACTATTCATTTTCTCATATAATTTTAACTATCAATCACTTTGAATCACTTGTCTTCGAGTTTTACATAAAATCAACTTTAATCATTTAATTTTATAAGTTATTTTAATACAAACTCAAAATACTCCTCAAACCTAAACCCGACAAACTTTTACAAAATTAACTTTTGTTCAAAAAAAGTACCAAACTAAATGTGTGATTGGATATGAATTTTATTTGGGTTTGCTTGGTTTTTTAGTTAACCATAGTTAATTTTGAAAAACGTGTATGGTTAATTGTTAGTGAAATTTTGAGTTTATATTAAAATAATATAAATTAAGATAATTAAAGTTGATTTGACGTAAATGTATGAACTAAGATAATGTGAAGTGATGATTAATTAAATGGTGAATTATAATTTTGATTGATATTATTAAATTATATAGATAGTATCGAATAAAGTGAGATTGTTTTAAACTTGAGTAAAGAAACAAATAATTGAGTTTAAATTAATTAGTTTTGTCTTTTTTTAATATATAATTTGATTCATATATAATCACAACCTTGATAGTTAAAATGAAAAAAAAAAAAAGAAAAATCCATCCATCAACCTATATATAATTCCCGAATGCGCTGAGCCTATGTGGCTGCTTCTGGTGCTTCGGAATCCTACTTGGCGAAGAATCATGCTTCGTAATTAGGTTTGGACAAATAATATTGATATATTAATAATTAATAATCTAGGTTCAGACATTCCATAAATATTATTTAGGTAACTTTGATATTTAATATCACTTGTACTAATATAACCTTTAATTCTTTGTAATTTTACATAGTGAGACACTAAGTGACTAATATATCCCTAACTTTTGATTTGTTTCTTTCAATTAGCTATTGAATTATAAATGTATTTTAAAAGATGATAACTTTTGTAATTTTTATCGGTTTTACATATATAATATATCAAATTAATCATCTTTTGATGATCTGCGATTTGACATCCATATTGTATATATGAAATAAATAAATTATATTTATCTTTATAATAATAAAAAATAATAATATTTATTAAAATTCATTAGAAAAATAAAATTATTTCTCAATTGATATATTTATGTTTAATGTAGTTATATGTGTAAGTTAAAAAAATTATTAAATATAACACATGTAGGTCGCACAAATAAAAAGTGTCATACTAAATATCACCCATATATATAATTTCCGAATGCGCTGAGCTTACGTGGCTGCTTCTGGTGCTTCGGAATCCTACTTGGCGAAAAATCATGCTTCGTAATTAGGTTTGGACAAATAATATTGATATATTAATAATTAATAATCTAGATTCGGAAATTCTGTAAATAATATTTAGCTAACTTAGGTATTTTAATATCAACTAGTGCATACCCCGTGCGATGCACGTGATACATATAATAAATCAATTATTTCTATAGGACTTGTACGTCTAGACAAAAAAACAATAGGCTTGGATCATCCATATTCCACATCTTTTAATAAGTGGCGTCTATTTAAGCCAAAAAATTAACATGTTAATTAATATATAATTCTACTAACACGTCATACTAATATTTATTTGATTTTAGAATACATATTTATTCATTGATATAAGAAAAAATATATTTTTTATTAATTATTGTTCACCATATAATACTCAATTATTATTTTATTATAAAATTTATAGTCATATAATGTAATTATTATTATTTATAAAAGTTATGGAAGTAGTCTTCTTTATGTAATAAAATTCAAAATAAAATTTTGAGTATAAATGTTTACAAAATACACACACATGTTTTTTAGAATTCAATTTTCTCATAATAATTCTTTTTTTTTTTAAAAAAAATAATTTAGCAATTGCCAAAAAATAAATCCCTTACATAATTAAGAGATTTTTTCTAATTTTCATCCTAAGGCTTTATAGTTTATTTAACATACTATGCAATAAAAAAATATTTAAGTTCATTTTTGAAACATAACAAAAAAAAAAAAAGTGATAAAAATACTATCATAGTTGACAATAATATACAAATAAATAACATGTTGAAATTTTAAAGAATAACTAATATAATTTTATTATCTAACCATCAATAAAATCATTTAATGATGTGATAATTATCTTTTAAATAATAAATAATAATAATTTTTTACAAAAATATTAGTGTTATATAAAAGATTAAAAAATATTACTCGACAAATATTAATTAGAATGGATATCAGTAAAATCATTGCATAAATTATTTAAGGAAAAAATCTTTAAGATCATATTTGGATATTAAATGTAAATATGCAAGCATTTAATGTATATAGTAAAAATTTCTAAATAAAGTATGCATTAAATGTGTGTTGACTTTTCTTGCTACTGTTTTTGGTAAATAGGTTGGCTTTTAATATATATATATATATATATATATATATATATATATATATATATATTGTACTAATATAACTCTTTAATTTTTTATAATTATACATAGTGAGTCATTAAGTGACTAATATATCCTGACTTTTGATTTGTTTCCTTCAATTAACTATTGAATTGTAAATTTATTTTAAAAGTTGATAACTTATTTATTTCTTATCTGTTTTACATATATAATATATTAAATTAATCATCTTTTGATGATCTTCGATTTGACATCTATATTGTATATATGAAATAAATAAATTATATTTATTTTAATAATAATAAAAAATAATAATGTTTATTAAAATTAACTAAAAAAATAAAATTATTTCTCAATTGATATATTTATGCTTAATGTAGTTATATTTATAAGTTAAAAAAGTTATTATAATATAACACAAGTAAGTTGCACAAATAAAAAATGTCATACTAAATATATAATAATATATATATTTTTATAAAAAAAAGTATTTAAAATTTCAACTACTTTTTATAATTATTTTAGATTTTAAGGAAAAAAAATTAACAAGCACTCTTGTAATACACGCGTTGTATACACCATGATAATACTCTGTTTGTAAATTGATTCATTTATTTATAAAAATTAATGTGAAAATAAATATTCTAAAAATATTCTTTTAAATTAAGAAATGAGTATAATAATTAGAGATGACATATTGACATACATATCTTGGATACCAAATCCAAGTGTGTTGCTACTGTTTCCAACATCTCATGACTTGTAAACATAATAAAAAAATAATTTAACTGTGATACCTTATCAATTACACATTTACACTACGCCGTAACTTCATCATAAAAATAATTCTAACAAATGTCACGCTATGTATAGCCTACCTTATATATATATATATAAAAAAAAAAACCACCATAGTTTATCACATTTTTAATTTTTTAATACTTTAAATTTCTATTTAATTTCTATCGTTAACAAAAAAAAAAAAAAAAAAAATTAATTAATTTAAAATAAATGCAATATATTATTGTATATAAAAATATATATAAGATTAAATAATGAATAATGTATCATTTTTTGAACCAATATATGAAACTCTAACTATTTCCTCCACTGTGTGAGAGCAACTCCAATACTTGATTGTCAAGTGAAAAAAATTAATGCCACGTAACATATATTTTCGCATATTTTTTTTTTAAAAAAATTATACTTAAATATAAAATAATCCATCAAATATTATAATAAAGAATGCTGAAAATTTATATTAAAAAAAATACACAACTAACAATTAAACATCGAATTATTGTACTCAAGAAACGTGTTGGTATCGTCGTAATTAGGCTTAATCTCCTTTTTTTTTTTTTGGTACAGGGACCTTCCGGTTTCTGAATCCACAGGGGAACCGACTAATCCGGAATCGAGCCGGGTAGGACCACAAGGGCGCGGCAAACATGAAATTGTCAAATGCTATACAAACTGACATTTTTATTCTTCTTTCCAATTTATCCTAATTTCACACACTTTTTGGTTTCCAACTGACAAAACCCTAATTTTAAAACCTCACACACACAGCCCTCTCTTCTCCCCTGAGATCGCCCGACTCTTGACCTCCGCAGATTTTCTCTCTCCTCTCTCTACTCTACATGAGTCGTCGTAAATTATATTCCAAATCAATCTGCATTCTCAAATCTCCCTTATATTTTACTATTAAACAATAGTATTTACCTTAGATTCTCCCTCATCACCACACCCATGGACTCTCAGGACTCATCGGCTCCGCCACCCCACCACCACCACCAGCACCACCACCACCACTTCCAGCATCACCACCCCGGGCCGCCGCTGTCATCCCACCACGCCGTCATAATGGGCCCACACTCCCAAACCCAGCTGCATCCGCCCAACATGCCGTACCCACTGCACAACAGCAACAACATTTCCGCCGCAGCCGCCGCCGCTGCGGCGGCGGCGAACGCGTCTCCCATGATGCATCAACAGAACCACCCTCGATTCCCGTTCAACTCCGCCCCTCCCGTCCCCAAACCCGTGGATCATCAGTACTCCGAGGGTTCCCCTTCCGCAAGCGGCGGAGGCGGCGGTGGTGGCGGGGGCGGGGGAGGCTGGTTCAACATCGAGCCGGCCAGAAAGAAAAGGGGGCGGCCCAGGAAGTACTCGCCGGACAACAGCATCGGCCTAGGTCTGTCCCCCGCTCCTGCCAGCCAGATTTCCCCATCTGCTGCTGCCGGCGGTGGCCATTTGGATTCCGGCGGGGGCCCTTCTGCTGACACGTCAGGCAAACGCAACCGCGGAAGGCCGCCCGGTTCCGTGAAAAAGCAGATGGATGCGCTAGGTTTCTTGATCAAATGCTCTTCCTGTCTATGTTTATACTTGTTTCTGCCACTTTCTTTTTTCTCTGATGCGGTTTTTTTTAAAATGCACTCCTTTAACACAAATGTGTGGTTTCTTGGTGGCCAGGGGTTCCAGGAGTTGGTTTTACGCCTCATGTAATTACTGTGGAAGTAGGAGAGGTGAGTCCTACTTAACAACATTTCTTTAATTGATCACATTCTTTTACTCATACTTCTATGATATAACTGTATGCTTTAGTTTTTCATGCTACTCGTTAGTTCGACTGCAAGATTCAATAACAATTATTATCGAAGTCTGTATCAAATTTCCACAATCTTATAGTTAAAATCATCAAGATCTTTTGATTTGGCGGAGGACTGCTGCACCTTTGATAAAATTACCATAGTTTTATATTAAACCGCATTGTTGAAAATTGAAAGAATACTTAGATTCAGGCCAATGGTTTTGATCATAAAGAGTTATGTTAGGTTAATAGTTTCTATAAAATTAGATACTCAACTCCCTAGTTTTTCCATGGCAACAGCACTATAACATAATGTTCAATGCGAAGGTAGTTCCAACAAGAAACATAGTTTTGGAAAAAATAGTCTTGTAATGTTGCAGGATATTTAAAGTGGAGAGTGGGTTGTTCTTTGATGGTGACTTGCAGTCAGTTATAGGGCATGTCCTCTCACAATCTCAATGTAGCATAAGATCAGAATCTGGGCCTGGTCAATATTGAGCTATCAGAAAATGTTGACTCTCTTACAACTTAGTATGAGGGTTGGTTTCTTCAGGCTTACATCCAAGTTTAACTATTTACATCTCACCTTTTATATTGTATTTATGCATTAGAGATTGTATTGGATTCAAAGAGACGAGTTAGGGCCTTTTTTCACTAACCCTGGCCTAGCTTACAGCCTCACTCTCATGTGCGTTTATGTTTAGGCGTTAATGCTTACAACATAGTAGATTTGTTCTGAAGTTATATTTTCCTATAAGTTATGAAACTGGGAAACCACCATCTACTAGCCTTTTTATGTTCTTGGTGCTGCTATAGGGACACTGACCATCTCTCTTCCTATTGTCTTGAAAAGAAGGAAAAAGTGATAAATAGCTAGGCGAGCCTGTTTGAGTTTTGCTCTCAGATATATGTTAGACTTCCTATATAATGAAATAGGAATGTAGATTAATTTATGCATCAGCCAAAGGAAAAAAACATAGTTGATTAGGTAATCCTAATAATATTTTTGATCTCATGTATTGTAGGACATAGCATCAAAAATTGTGGCTTTCGCACAGCAAGGGCCGCGCACGGTTTGCATTCTATCTGCTAATGGTGCCGTTTGTAACGTTACTCTTCGCCAGCCAGCGATGTCTGGCGGCACAGTGACATATGAGGTGCGTACTAGCGGATAACCTTTCTGTGTATGAGGCTTGTCTTGGATTCTCAGTCACTTATGATTCATCGAAATCTGTTGTAATCAATGTCTCTCTCTGTGTGTGTCAGTGTGTGTGCAAATGATCCAGATTTCTGCCAACTACAGCTAAATACTGCAAATTTTCATTTCTATTAGTGATCAACGTTCTATGATTACTCATAGGTATGTGTATGATCTTCTTGAAGGTTCTTGAGAACTGGGTTCATGAGGTCCACCAAACCTCTGAAGATATGGTGAACATTATTGTTAGATAATTCATTAGTGTATTTTGGTGAAATTTCGTGTGCTTTTATCTTAGTTAAAGGGATAACTAAGGGGTGCATCTAACCTCATTTTTTTCTTGAATTACTTTGTGATGAAAATGTTTTTTGTATGATTGTGCATGGCAGCATAGCTAAAGATTTGGAGGTTGAGTAACCCATAGATACAGCTATAATCTGGTCGAGTTAAAATGAGATTTGACTCTCATTCTTTCTTTTGTCATTAGGTTTGGTTTTGTTCATGTTTGGTTTGTTTAGTTCAAAAAGATTGTTCATGTTGCTTGATTAACTTGAGTTTGAGCTTGAATGTTATGATTTTTGCTAAGGATAAATTCTTTGTTGTTGTATTAATTTGTTTTAGTTGCGTGTTAAATTAGTGTTAGCAATCACTCAGTAATATTGGGGAACAAGGTTGTGGTTATACGACATTTAACTCAAATGTTGAACAAATGAGCTTAAAAAATAGAACCCAACAATCATAAAGGAGCTTTTGTTTATGAGTATTTGGTTCATTTGTATTTGTAATAGGAAGGGAAGTCTCTTAATTTGCTCTCAGGTCCAGCAATCTGTATTACAGCAACCCCTGCATTCTGATCATAACCCATTTGTCTTTCTTTCTATTCTTGTTTCTTTTTTATGTTCACGCCTTTGCATCTACTTTGTGCTCATTGAGTTTTTTTTCTTCTTGCCTTTGTTTATTTTTTTAGTGCTACGTTTCACTTATTTTTGTAGCTTTTATTATTATATTGTTATTTTGATGTTTGGATTTGTTGGACATGTGATTATTAGTAATCTGTGATGTAGTGAGAACGAGAGGATACAGTTCACTAGTTGAGTTGGTGGTGTTGTACATCACCGTCATGTCACTGTCCACCTTTCATTTTGGCAATGGAATGGGATGCAAAATTAGTCAATAGAACACTCATGTGATTGCTCTGCAAAACATGCTCTTTTCTTTCTTTTAACAAAGTATTCACATCTCACTCTACTGAAAGCTTACTTAACTAGCAAATTAGATAAATTAGGTAGTATCTGCTTGCTATGTATAAATCTTCAATTCAATATTGTATTCAACACAGTAACAACTGAACTTCTCCTAGGCTTTTCTAAATTGTTCAAGTATTCAGTATAGTAAACTAAAGTACATTAGAAATAAGGTTGGACAATTTGCATTTATCTCATAATTATGAACCCTATATTTATGAAAATTGCAGTATTATATGGATTAGGACCTAGGATTTTCCAATATCGTATGTTTTGGAAATTTAAATACATGTCCATATACATAATAAGGTGATTTGGTGAGTTCAGAGTACTGGTGAACTGGATGCATAACTGATACATGTACATAAATCGAACAGTTAATCACAATAGTCAGTGAGAAAATCCTGTACCTTTGGAAAAATGCACCCTTTAGGAATGAGATGTTTTGGACCATGGATTTGGAACATTTGGAATTTTGTTACAGGAACAGGACTATCAGTTTCAGTTCTCAACGTGTTTTGCACTTTCAATTCCCCGATGGTTTGAGGCATTTCTTGAAATAGATATTATATCTAATGAAATGGCTGGATTATCCAATAGTTACAAATTACAATGTTACATTTGGCCATTCTTGCTTATATATATATATATTTGTTTTTTTTTTCGCCTGAGCATTAATGGAGCCAATCATCTATTCACAGGGGCGCTTTGAGATAATCTCTTTGTCTGGTTCGTTCTTAACGTCGGAAAGTAATGGTGCCCACAGTAGGAGTGGTGCTTTGAGTGTGTCTTTGGCTGGAACAGATGGCCGAGTATTGGGTGGTGGGGTTGCTGGAATGCTTAAAGCCGCATCACCTGTCCAGGTAGTATCGTTATTATAATGTCCACTATTTTACTCGGGGCCTGATTGGATACAAATTATTTTCGATTTGATTGGATTTATTGGATAAAGTGAGTTAATTTTGAAGAAAAAAAAAAAAGATTGTTTGAGTTTAGTTTGAGTGAGATTCTTGAGTTTGTATTTGAATAATATTTACAATATAATGATTAAAGTGATGTGATTGGAAGTGATGAGTAAAGATTATTTAATTATATTGATAATAATATTGAGGAGAGTTGAGTTGAGTTAATTTAGAGTAAAAATATTATAAGAAAAAACTTATGACTTAATTTGCAGGTTGTGGTAGGGAGTTTTATTGCAGACGGCAAAAAACCGAAAACTGGGTCTTCCTCAGCTGTTGCTAATACTCCTCCATCTTCGAATATGCTGAATTTCGGTGCTCGAGCGACCGAGGCCAGCCCGCCTTCACCGGGTGGTTCTAGCGACTCGGGTGAGGACAATGGTGGTAACAATAGTAGTCCTCCTCTTCATCAACATGGATCGGGCCCTTACCCTGCTGGACGACCCGTACAGAGTATGCCCATGTATTCGAACATGGGCTGGCCCAACTCCATGAAGATGCATCCTAATTAACCCTCTGCAAAGTTTCGTTTTTTAGGGGATTTTTGGGCACGCTAAGCTGGTAACTCTAGTAACTGAGAACGTAGAATGTTTTGCTTTCGAAGGATTATCCTTTTGCTGTATTTTTTTTTTTTTTTTTAACTCTCTTAGGTGTACTTTCTTCCAGCTGCAGGCTGTTCATGTTATTATGCTAACTTCTTGGGTGTTAAGGAGCAAGTTCTTGTATTTCTCATTCTTATGCATTCTGAGTAGATGATCTCTTGTTTTCCACTTTCTGTTGATTCTTGTGCAAAAATCTGAGTTTGGTGATTTTATTTGTAAAAATTGAATTCAACTTGGGGAAAGTGGATATTTTTTAGTGCAATTTGATTGATATATGTGTAATATTTAATTATTTATTAGGCTACAGAAAATGGTGTATTGTATCCTATATATATATATATATATATATATATATATATATATATATATGAACATAAAAGTTAGAAGAGTAATGTGGCATGTATATAATAATTTGGAGAGATACTACGGTCTCGTTACGGTACCATCTCGTCGATTGTTTTAACCATTAGATCTACGTGTAGTTAGATAAGATCGATGACCCAACGGTTAAAACACCCGAGCGATGGTACCGTAACGGGATAGTAGCATTTCCCAATAATTTGTATATTCAAGTGTACACATTCTCATGATTAGAATACATTCAAATATTTTATTAGAATAAATTTATAATTTATAATAAATATCTATATTATATTATATTATAAGTGTACATATTCTCGCATGTGAAGAATCTGTCCAAATATTTTAATTAGACAACCTTATATTATATACAAGTAGAATTATTTAAAGTTTGACTTACGGTTGATGCAATCTTAATTTCATTATTTTGCCGAAAACATCACCATTGATATCAGTGTTTTGAAACTTGAACCGACTTGACAGGTCGACCCAGGTCTGGGACTCATTCGGATGGATTGTTCGGACCAGGTAACAAAGTACCCGGTCAACCTGACATTGACCTGGTCGACCGTGTATTGATTCGACAGAGTCAACTCAGTTTGACTCAGCCATTAAATTTTTTTTACCTTTTTATTTTTAAAAATAAAATTTTGTATATGCTTTAAGGTTGAATCAGTCTACTAAGGGATGACCGAATCCAAGAGGTCAATTGCATCGAATCTCGTTCCTCTCAATTGCATCGATCCTCCTATTGAGAAAAAGTATGAGTTTGTATCCAACGCCTAGGAGGAACCTCCATATATATATAAATATATATATATATATATATATATATATATGTGTGTGTGTGTGTTATTATCAATATTATCAATATAATTAAATAATATTAAGCAATCATTTTCACACACCACATCAACTTTAGTTCAATATTTATCAATTTACATAAATTTAACTACACATCACTTTCAATTATATATATCATACTTTTACATAACATCAACTTTATTTATTATATTTTAAATATTATTTAAATACAAATTCATAATCTCCGTCAAACCAAACTTAATATTCTTTTTGCAAAATAAACTAACTTTATCCAATAAATCCAGTCAAATCCAAAATAACATAGGAGATGGTTGAGTATAAGTTATTTTAGATTTGATTGGTTTACTGGATAACTAAAGTTAATTTTGAAAAAGTTGATTGAGTTATATTTTAATTGTATTAAAATACTATTTAAATTATAACGATTAAAGTTGACTTGATGTAAAAGTAAGAGAAAAATTATTGAAAATGATGAGTAACTAAAATTATGGTTATCGATGAACAGTGAATTAATGTTCATATAATTAGTGATGGTGATTGATTAATCTTATTTAATTATATTGTAATATTGAGCAAAATTGAGTTGGATTAAGTTTAAGTTATATTTTAAGTAAAAAAAAAAGAAATATATTATATATTTAACCAAAAGTGACTAAATAACTTAGAACCAATGAGGAACTTATATCCAATCAAGCCCTCACTGATGTGGTTTTTAAAAGAATGTTTGACATCATTAACTCCTATAAGATGAATTAAATTATGTGATGTAGAGCGTAGTACAAATGGGCAGATAAAGAGATACTCTCTCGTGAAATAGAACAAACGATTTTTCAATTCATCAAAAGCTGCTTTCTTCTCGGTTTCATCCCACATATATAATCCCAAAGACTTAAAATAAGAGACCTAGTCTTGCCTAAACACTTGCAAGACAATTATTTTCCTACCATAAATATTATTAAGACTAAAGGAAATAAACAATAATAATAATAATACTAATAGGAGATAAATCAATTAAATCCTGAGCCGGTCGTATTTATTCAGAAATGCAATGGCGGTCTCGTCTTCATCATCCTCCCCCTGTTGAGGAGGATTCGCCCTCGAATCCGAGCCGGTCTCGTCTTCCTCGGAGTTGTCTCCCACGAAAGGCACCAAATGCTTGACATTGAAGACGTCCGACGTGCGAATGTGAGAAGGCAGCCGAAGTCGATAAGCATTCGGATTAATCTTCTCAAGAACCTCGATCGGGCCAATCTTGCGGGCTGACAACTTGTTATACTCGTGGGCCGTGAACCTATCCTTCGTCAAGACAGCCCAAACATAGTCGCCAACCGAAAACTCGACATCACGCCGGCGCAAATCCGCACGCTTCTTGTACGCCGCGGTCGTGGACTCCAGCTTGGCCCGCGTAGCCGCGTGAGTCTCCTGCAGCTCGGCGATCAAGTCCACAGCGCGCCGATCAACGCCCGCCGAGGAAGGCAACGCCAGCAAGTCCGACGGGCCCCGGGGCCGGACGACATACACTACCTCAAACGGAGACAGACCCGTGGCGCGACTAACAGCCGAATTATGGGCAAATTCGGCCTGGCTCAAGCGCTGGTCCCAACTGCGAAGATTATCGCCCACCAAACACCGAAGGAGATTACCGAGCGAACGATTCACGACCTCCGTCTGTCCGTCAGTCTGAGGGTGATAAGCACTACTGAAATCCAGACGAGTATTGGCCATGCGCCACAGGCTACGCCAAAAGTGACTAAGAAAGCGAGTGTCACGATCAGACACGATAGAAGATGGGAGGCCATGGAGACGGTAGATCTCACGAAAGAAAAGCATCGCCACATGAACAACATCAGTGGTGCGCTTGCATGGGATGAAGTGCACCATCTTGGAAAATCGGTCGACGACCACAAAGATAGAATCAAAGCCCCGTTGGGTACGAGGTAACCCCAACACGAAATCCATGCTCACAGCACACCAAGGTTGCGAAGGAATAGGAAGAGGTCGATAGAGCCCTGCATTCGAAGCTCCCCCTTTCGAGACGTGACATACACGACACCGCTCCACGAAACGCCCCACGTCCCGGCGGAGAGAAGGCCAAAAATAAGAACGGGCAACCAAAGCAACCGAACGGTCCCTGCCCACATGACCGGCCCCATGGAGATCGGAAATAAGCTTAAGGCGAAGGCTGCAGTCCGGAATGCATAATCGAACCCCTCGAAACAAAAAACCATCCGATAACAAGAAGCCATCAACCGGTCCGGCCACAAGGCGTCGCACAATCGGGCCAAAGAACGGATCCTCCGTATACAACTCCCGCAAGACATCAAACCCAATGACAGAAACGCGCATATCAGTCAACAAAAGCGCACGACGACTTAAGGCGTCGGCCACCCGGTTGGAAATGCCAGAACGATGACGAAGCACAAAAGTGAACTGCTGTAAGAAAGCAGTCCACGAGGCATGACGAGCAGAGATATTATCCTGTGTGGCCAAATGACGCAGTGCCTCGTGGTCCGTATAGAGAATGAACTCACGATGAAAGAGATAATGCCGCCAATGTCGCACCGCGCGTACCACAGCATAGAATTCGACGTCATACGTACTATAGCGGGACCTCGGACCAGACAGTTTCTCGCTAAAAAACGATACCGGCCGACCATCCTGGCCGAGAACAGCACCAATCCCAACCTTCGAAGCATCGCACGAAAGCTCAAACGGTTTCGAAAAATCTGGAAGCACAAGCAGGGGGCAGATGTCAACTTGTCCTTGATAAGAACAAAAGCGTGCTCGGCCGCCGGGGTCCACTCGAAAGACGTACCGTGCAAACAATCAGTAATAGGAGCAGTAATCGTGCT